GTAAAAACTGGTAAAATGTACCAACAATCACATTTAAAAAATATACACTTTTTGATATACCATAAAAAAAATAATAAAACAGGCAGCCCATCTGAATTAGGTCATTTAGGCTATCCATCTAATAGTAGCCTACCAAAATTTTACTAACAGTAGATGTTAAATCTTACTGTAGACTTCAAATCTGGGTACGTTTTAAAATCACAAAGGGAGTTTGGTCCCATCAGGCTAACGTGACAGTCACGACTCATGCAGCTGTAAGGTTTTCTTTTTCTTTTGTTTTTATTTGCGATCTTTACAACACGCATTACATTACGTATTTCATGGCACACTCGTTTTATGCGTATTTGGCGCCACCTGTTGTTGTGGGTGTATTATTGACATGTCAAAGTCTAGACCCTGAATATAAGACGACCACGTTTTTTTCAGATGTATTTCCAAGAAAAAAACATCGTCTTATATTTGGGTCAATATGGTAGTTTCGCGTTCACAAAGAAACACACAGTGTCTCCACGACATGGCGGCGATGGCAAAAATACTACAGCGAGAATCAAAGTTACGCCTTCTTTCTTTGCGTGAGCATTTGGGCGGCGTTATGCAAATCTTCCCACATCGTGAAGTAGACATGTGGGGGCGTGTTTAAACGAACCGTTTTAGGTAGGCATGGTTGACTTTTAACTTTTATAAAGAATATCTCTTTGGATTTGAGACTTTAGTCTTTGCAACTTTACAGATCTTCTTTATGCACCAAGAGCTTGTAACACTCCAAAGAGAAAGGAAAAATTGTAATTGCATCATATAACCCCTTTAAGTTTCATCCCATTTTCACGCTCCATGTAAGTGACGTATCCGATTAACTGTACAGTGCATACTTTTAGGTTAATTTAATTAGCTTACTTCCATTCATCCATTGACAAATTGCCAGCAAAACCTTTATATAAAAAAACGCTCATCTACACATAAGATGACATTAAAAGCTCAAACTTTCAGAAACAAGAGCTCAAGTCTATAGTTAACCTAACGTTACCTCTTATAGATAGCCTTACGGTTGAGATGCTAACGGACTTTTTCCGAAGACACGAAACCATTTCTATGAAGTAAATATTCAACGGAAGCATGTCATTTACATGAAAGAAAGTGTCAGGAACGCTTGTATGTACTATTTGTGTAATTTCAGAGACTAAACTTACCTGAAATCAGTGAAAACAGCAGTGAGAGATGGAGTTGCTGCTTGACAGATGAGCTGCCGCCCCGTTTCCATGGTGACTTCCTCCGCTCCAGTTTAGTGCACGCGCCCATTAAAGCATGTAGAAGTCACGCAGAATTTACGTAAATATCATATATCATATCATATCATATAATAGCTTTAGAAATGGTAAACGTAGTGTAGAAATAACATTGAAAAAACATTGATTAAAAACTAAGGCATATATATATAGGAATATTATATATTTTTTCGTACACATATTTACACATGTATCATGAGGAACAATTTTAAGCTTTATGTTTTATGTATTTTAAAAATTTATTTTCAAAATATATTTAACGGTGCTACATTCCTGTATGGGTGTAATTAATGTGAATTTATTAATAGGGCTACGCAGGGGCGGATTTAGTGATTTGGGAGCCCCAGGCAAAATACAGGAATGGGGCCCTATACAATTTCACACATTTACAACCTTGAGGTTTCTTTCACTGTTGCTCGCTGCTGCACGACCGTGTCCCATTGTGTCTAATCTTTTAGATTAGAATTAGAATCTAATCTTTATTTATAATCATGTACATGTTATAAATAAAGGATTTCTTTAAAGTTGTAAATCCCTTGTTAACATTTAAACAGGTTATAATCGAGCGGCAACCTCCCGCTCTCTCTCGTGAAGCCAACACGGAAGTGATTTAAACTGTAATTCATCAACTGGCCGCAAAAGGGAGTCAATCCCATAGACTCCCCATGTTAAAATGCCCAACTTTACAGCAGAAAAAAACATGTTTACAGCCTGGTTCAAAAAATTATTTTGGTCTATATAGCTAATTTTGCCCTTCATGACCACTGTGAGGGGGTCTGTGAGTTTTTTTATAACTCATCCGTTTAAATTATAGTAAGCCTTAAAATTCTGCATAATTAAGGGCATGGCCACTTGAGTGACAGGTGGATTGACGTTGCTGTCTCTATCTGCCGCTGAACTTTCTGCTTTTGTTTTATTCAGTCTATGGGTTATTTTCGTGATTATTTCTTAAAATGATCAAATAAAATGTCTTGTTGTGCGGTTAATTGTACTAACAGACCGTCTAAGTCTGGGATCCATTTTTTCCGGTGAGTGATATTGTAATGTAATTTTATTTATTAATTAATTTATTCTTTATAATTTTATTCAAAACTCTACTACACTCCAGAATCCAACCGACTGTGATTAGCTGTAACGTTAGGCCTGTAATTAACGTAACTCATTAAGCGTTTTCCTGAAACCGTTAGGCTATAAGAAAAACTCTTAACGTGGCTTAATGAATTAAAACCGATTAAAACTGTTTTTAAAAGACGAAACTCAGTGAGAGCATGATTAATAAATCATACTATGTACAGACAAGCACTGTTTTAATGCATTAAGCCATGTAAGCGTTTTCCTTATAACAGTTTTCTATGGGAGGACAACGCTTCTTATCCTGGACTCATCTGCTTGTCTGTACATAAGTATGATTTGTTAATAACATGTTTTCTGCGTTTGGTCTTTGAAAAACACTGTCTTAATGCATTATAAGCTAAATTAAGTGTTTTAAAATGTCCCGAAAAGAATGAGGACTGTGCAAAGTAGTCTGTGAAAAAGGTAACTATCTATTTGTCTGTGTAAAGTTTTCCTCTAGGTGATCCAGACCCTCTCAGACTAGACCAGTGGATGCTCAACGTGAAACGACAGAATTGGACTCCTAAAAAGGCACCTCAGCGCCGCCCACGTCCCGCCTCTTTGCCCATTTTCGATTATCCGGGAGTGACGCGCGGTGACGTGCTGCCAAGATGGCGATGACTGGCTCCGCCCACTTTGAGCTTCAAAAAATCTCTTCAGAATCCAACGGGTGACGTCACGGACACTACGTCCATGTTTTTTACAGTCTATGGTTATAATAGTATTAGAGTAGGTTGGACACTAGGTGGTGCGTTGGGGTAATTTTCACTATGCAATTGTCTACACAACGCAAGGCTGTCTAATTCTAAACTTTAAAATATACATTTAGTTTTATTTATTTTAATTGCACATTTAAATTAAACTGAAGAAAATTATAAATGTACATGCTTAAGGATTATTTCAACCAAACATGAAGTGTGCCTCTGTGGAAAGTGACTGTGCATGGTCCTTCTTGGGTCTTTCACAAAAACCAGTGAGCGCCATTTAAAAATAAAAAAATAGGCCTTATATAATATGCACTGTTGCTTAGTATTAAAAGTATAGCTTCAGATGCATGATATTTGTAGGGCCCTATGAAATCCGTTTTATTTTTTCCAAAATCTTTTTTTCTGTTTTAATTTTTCTGGCTTCAGTTGTATTTTATTTATTTATTTATTTTCTGGATGATTATATTAAATTTTAACAAAAAACATGTCTAATTAATTAAAATCATGAAACTTTAATTTAACAGCAATGTAGGCCTATTAAATGTTTAATAAAAATTACATTATTAGGGCCCAAATTCTGCACTTTCTATTTAAATTTTTCTATATTCCATTTTAATGGTTTAATCAAAAACATATCTAATTAATGGAATTCATAAAAACAACTTAATTTATTAATTTGTATACAATAATAGGGCCCTATGAAATTTAAATTGTATTTACTTATTTTGTAGAAATTCTGTGTTGTGTATTTAAATTTTTCTGGTAATCAAATGAAGGCGAAAACATTAATCTATCTTTTATTCCAATGAAAATTAAACACACCCTTTAATTTTTGTACATTCAAAATGCTACACAACAGAATTTTACTGTGTAACGAGCAATGTCGCGGAATTCGTCAAATAT